TTAGAAACAACAAGAAAAACAAAAGGAGAGTTACCCTGCGGCCTCATGACCAAGGATTCGAGGGTATGCTTGCTGAGCCTCGTTCTGACCAGAGAGAAGAAGARCAAGTCATTCAAAGAGCTAGCTACAGTACTTAGAAAAAAGGAAGAGATGACAAGTAAGAGTACCTCGCCTTTCCATGCGCTAAGATCGGTGTGACAGATGGAAGTGAAGAGGATTCGAAGTCTCACTTCCAGTCTCTGAGGAGGATCCACTCTCACATCCTCCATCACTAGAACTTCTCCAGCTCCCCATGCCACAGCCGCTGCGAATGACACTCATCATTCAATATTGGGTTTAACTAATTAGCTTTACATCTAAAGAGAACTAATTACCCCTGCAGGTGATAACTTTGCCTTGTGTTTCTTCCATCCGCAAGCCTCTTCCCGAGTCTTCTTATTGACTCTCAGACCTTTGCTTGAAAAAGTCTAGTCTAGTGAGAGCTGAATATGAAGGAGAATGTCACACCAGCTCTACATATATAGTTATTTAAGGTCATTAGTGTTGAAAGCCGATATGGACTTTTCAATTAACTAACAAACACTCTAACAAGACTCGCTCAAGAAGAGACGTCACTCCAAGTTTTCTCCGCAGCCTAAACGACATGACATATTCAATCTCTCAATTATTATTATTTTTGTTTTTGTTGTTTAATGAAGGAGATGGCATGGCATTCACTAATCCAACGATGCGCAGTGTATTTATTTTTGCATTAATAGCATGAAAGATAATAGCTGGATATGTGCTTCYTTCTATCTCTCACTACACACAATTTTTGTGAAGATGAAGTAGGTAAAGGAGATATCCAACGTATTTACCATTCAGCCAGTTCATGTAATTAGCTGAAATTATTTGTGATTAGATCAATTTTGCAAGACCGCATACTACAATACAAACTACCAATATATACATTACTGAAGAAGTAAATTATACAATAAATTTCAATAATTTTTAAATATCATAATTTACAAGAAGAAAGTATATCATAATTTGCTAGTCAACTTAAAGTTTCGTGTGATACTAAGAAGAAGAAGAAGATAATTGACAAAAACTAAAACTTATTTTCAAGATTACACCGGTTTATTCTATTGAGAGTTTAC